AGTTTTACTTAAGAAAGGACTTGTGTCGCTAAGTTTCATCGGAAAGAATTTTTACGGAAAATTAACTAACGACCAAATTGGTGTGAAAGAGTGGGACGGAAAAGAAAAAAAATGGAAACAAGAAGAGGCAAATCAAACTACAGCTTAGCAGATTTGATGGCAGCATTACAAGAACAGCAAAATAAACAAGAGAGAATACAGGTTGTAGAAGAAAGAAAATAAACAAGAAGAGAGATTACAGCAGTGGCAACTGGAACAAGAAAGGAAATAGGAAGAAAGTCAGCAGCAACTACAGGAAAGTCAACAATAGTGGCAAGAAGTACAAATGGAAAACATTAGTAAATTTAAAAGCGAATTAGATACATTAAAGGATGGTTTATTGTCTTTTACATAAGGAGGATACATTAACCATCGGCTTAATCAGCCCCAGACAATGGCAAGCCCATTACAGACCCGCAGCTAAACTTTAATGCAGACATCTTCAGTCCTGTTAGAAGTCACATCCCAGCAGAATGTCAGCAATAGGGGTGATCCAGTACGAAGGAACAGACAGAGAGTATACTCGGCTGACATTGAAGACCAATGCATATTAGGATTGGACTATTTACTACCGAGGAAGTGTGTAGTTAACTTCGATAAAATGACGATTGAAAACAACAAAGGCCAGATTCCAGTAAGTGTTGCTACATCCGTTGATCTGCATATCACAGCACTTAAGTCAACTACAATACCTTCTATGTCAGAGAAAATAATTTGGGGTAGAATAAAAGAACAGCCCCAAGGAAGCCCAATGCTTGTGGAAGCAGTGGAAGACCCATCCAGGCCAGCGGATTTGAAGATTGAAAGGTCACTTGTGGCAGGTCATCAAGTAGTACCTATAACAGTGGCCAATTTCTCTAAATGTGAGCAGACACTTAAGGAAGGGGCATTGTTGAGTGTGTGCCAGGAGGTAGAGCCAGTTAATGTTAAAGCAAGAAATACAACTGTAAAAAATGGACATGCACTTCCAGAACATTTAACTGACCTTTATAAGAAGCGACAAGAAATAGAAAAGGTCATGGATGGTCTAATTAAGGAAGGTATAGTCGAGAAATCAGATAGTCCCTGGTCAGCTCCCGTCGTGTTAGTCCAGAAGAAGAATGGGACCCAACGTTGCTGTGTGGACTTCAGGGCTCTTAACAGTATAACCGAAAAAGACTCATACCCATTGCCATGAATTGATGATATTCTTGATGCCCTAAGTGGAACCAGGTGGTTTTCAACTCTGGACTTAAAATCAGGTTTCCATCAAGTAAAAATGGCTGAAGCAGATAGACCTAAGACAGCATTTAGTTATGGTCAAGGTCTCTGGCAATACCGTGTGATGCCATTCGGGCTTAGTAATGCTCCAGCAACAAATGAGAGGCTGATGGAAAGGGTACTGGAAGGCCTACAATGGAGAATAGCCCTAGTGTACCTGGACGATGTCATTATATTTGCAACAACTTTTGATGAGGAAATGTCCCGGCTAGTGGAAGTATTAAAGCGTTTGAAAGCAGCAAATTTAAAACTCCATCCCAAGAAATACCACTTGTTCCAGAAAGAGGTGCTTTACTTAGGTCACATTGTAAGTGAGCGTGGTGTGCAAAGTGATCCTGACAAGGTGAATGCAGTGCGTGTTTGGCCAACACCAGACAATGTGGGAGAGCTAAGAAGTTTCTGGGGACTCTGTACCTATTACTGGAAGTTTGTGA